GAAGTATTTTTTTTTTTTAAGAAAATTAAATTTGTTAATTTTTAACCAAAGTTAATTTTTACACACATATATTTTTATACATGAGACTTGCTTAAATGTGCAGTACAATTATTAAGACGCACATCAAACTATTTGTTTTTGTTTAAGTTTTTAGTCAATACCAAATTGTTATTATTTTTGATTGTATAATATATTAAATTTATTGGTTAAAAGGAAAAACAATAACATTTTACTAGATAATTAATGAAATCGACTAGTCAATTTTACCCTCAATAAAGGTCACAAAGAAATCAATTTGTTTTATATAATATATATTATTTTGTTTAAATTGTTGTTTAATTATTATTTTTATTTTTGATTAATATTTAAAATTAAAATATTTAATAATTAATATCTCTATAGTTGAATTTTATGTACAAGTAGATAATATTTATCAACGTATTTTTTTGATAACCACAAAACACTATTGTTACTGTTTATTGATTGTGAATTAAATTAAAACACTTAACAGTAAACATAAATATTTATTGTTTAAAATTTTACTTGTAGATTACCGTCTATAAGGACCAATATAATACTTTTTCTTTTTACCATGGGCATGAATGTTATAAAAATAGTGCCATACATATATTATATACATTAATAATTATACTTAATAATTAATAATTTTATTACTGTTTAACATGATAATTTTGTCTATACCAAAAACTATAAGTTATTATAAACACTAAACAAAGACAAAGTATAAGTGTGCAATATATTTACTATGTATATTTTAGCTATTTGAAGTACATTGAAGGTTGACAATCGAAGATTATAACTTGTTTTCTGTTATGAACTACCATAAATTGATTTGAATTTTTGTTTTTAATTTGATAAACATTTGTATCTTATTAAAATATTTACTTTATTTTTATTTGTCGCCTTGTTTATTTTTTGTATTATTATTATAGTAATTACTTTTATTTATAACATAGTATATTTTTTTGTGTATGTAGACTCATAATATTATGTTTGATGCAAGCTACAAATATTGTTTATGTTTCAACGAAATTGAACTGGTTGTGATTATTATGGAATTAGAATATAATATGAATATTAAAAAACTTGTTTCCATTCGTTCTTGTTTRATATTTTTATTTTATCTAAAAATCCTAATGTTTATAGTATATATATACATACTCCTTATACTCTGTAGTAAATATATATGATAAATTACTTAATTTAATTCAATTAACATTTTGATAATAACAATGATTATATTTACTTGGATAAATGTAATGCATTCTATGGCTATTCTCCTTAGTATGACTGTTTATTTTTATAAATCATTGATCACTTAATTCTAACACTAMAACAGCAATGATTTTAAGTTATGTAAAAAATTTGAATTAAATTAATATACAAGTCAATTATTTCAATTTCACCTATTTTATAATACAAGGTTTAAAATAMGATGAAAAACCCATTGATAAATGCTGTTCTACTTAAAACATTGACTAGATTTCTACAAACAGCTGTGTTCAGTACCAATAAGGGTCATGTGCTAATCGGTAATGTATTTTGATGAGGCATCTATATAAYTAACTACAGTCGAGTTGCAATAACTCGAAGTTGAAGGAGGATAAAAATTTGTTTTGATATATTTTACTACTAATTAAAAGGGGAAGAATTTTCTCAGGGAATAAGAAAAAATTTGAGTTATCAATTTTTTAGTTATTGCGACTTGACTGTATTATAAAAATGTTTTTAAATCAAAACATAGGCGGAGGAACTGGATTTATTGGCAGAAACTTGCAAGAATTTCTGTTGAAAGAAAAATACAAAGTTACAGTAATATCTAGAATCAAGACTGGAGAAGAACACATAATAAATTGGGTAATATTGTATTATTTCCTAGCTATATATTTTTTAAGTATGTGTTTTGCGTATTTTTAGGCTGATTTAATAACCAATGGTGTTCCCAATAATGTCACTGCTGTGGTCAACTTGACCGGTGAGCCCATCATGGTTCCTTTCAAAGATTTTGGAAATAACTTTAAAAAAAAAATTTGGATTAGTAGAGTTGGATCTACAATGTTACTTACTGATATCATAAATTCTGCCCAATGCAAACCTAATGTGTTCATTACCATTACTAGTACTGGTACTGTGAATGTTGACAATGTTGTATAAACTAAAATTATTATAATAATTAAAATTTACAAACAGATATATATCCATCAGATGGAGAAGTCCATACCGAAAAATTTATTCCTACAGACCAGATGATAGACAGTAATTTCTTTACTAGATTAGGAACAGATTGGGAGCAAGCTTCAAAGTATTTTCCCTTTCGTAAAGTATCGATTAGAACAGGTATGCACATAATATGTATTAATATCAAGTATTAAATAATGACATTCTAGCGCAAAATGCACAATATTAAGCATATTAATAGTGTTGTTTCAGTTCTTACCAATCAAATTTATTCACTGTATTTTTGTGTTAATTAGGAAGCGTACTTGGTTATAGGGGTGGATTTCTCAATTGCTTGAAATATCCAACTGCTATAGGTTTAGGGGTTCAAATAGGAGATGGATGTCAGTACCAGCCTTGGATACACATCTGTGACTTATTGAATATCATATTATTTTCAATACAGAATGAAGAAATAAGTGGAATATTGAACGGTGTATCACCAAAGGTAATAATTCTTTTTTAATGA